GGGGAGGTTGCAAGAACGCAGGAAGGGAATTGAACGACGTGTGACCCAATCCTGACCCCCGGCCCGACATGAATGCTGTGTAGTGACAGAACATGTGTCAGCGCTGATTCGCCCAAGCTACTGACGCGCGGCAGGTCTGCGAATGGCTTCGTCTTCCCCCGCACGAAGACGGCGAGGGCGACGACGACGTTGGGGCGCAAGTTAAAATGGGGGTTGGCAAGGATCAGAGTCAGCCCGCCTAGGGTCCCTTCTGCACAGGGTTACTGCTGGGTGCCTTTGCGAAGAACGGGGAATCGTATGTCCTTCCAACGAAGCGAGTCAATGGGGAGCAGAGCTGGGGCTGAGGCATTTTCAGCAACGAGCTTCTGACCTTCCTCCCCCGTTCGTTTTTCGGGAAGGCGTCATTGTTGACCCGCGATACGTCAACTTTGAACAATGACAGATTGAGTCGTCGACGTCAAACAGCGATTGCATCATCAAGTCAATGCGGACACGCTGGTTTGGTTTGGAACATGCTCAAAAATAGGTCACGTCAGACCTTTCCTTCCCTCTGATCTCCAGTGTGTCCTACGCCTGGCTGCTATGCCAAGACGATGCGCTGTGTTTGACAGGACTCGGGAAGAGAAGAAGGGGGGGGGGTCACGTGAAAATGCGGTGTTGGCGATGCATCTGAGGGACCAACAATGAACGGATGTGGCGACGAGCCACGAGGTGTGGCAGCCCGCGGGGGTTTCTCCCGAAGTGCCTACTAGCGAGAGCGGACGCTGAGATGCCCGCAAAACAGCGACACGGATCCTAGACGCCCCCCCCCCCTCCCCCGTTCCAGCTGGTGAACATGCTTGCTAAGGTCAGAAGAAAAGGTTCGTGAGGGCCTCGGGTGTCCCCCCTCCAGCTCGATGTAGTCTGGCAGGGCTGCATAGCCAGAATGACTTTGCTCGGACAGGCATTGTTGTTCGTCAGTCCTGGTGAAGCAATGCTGAAAGGACTGGGGAAAAACGCAGTGCAGTGCAGAGGGCCGGAAACAGGCGTCATTCAGGTGGACCACTTGGATGTCGCTTTGAGGCGATGGCAATGCGTGAGGTGTTTTCGTCATGACAGCCAGGACCCAGATCAACGGCTGGCAGCTGGCGATCCGAGTCATTCGTACAATTCGTACAGCACCCGTGTGGTGGGAGCCCTTTCCGAAAAAAAAAACACGAAAATGCGAGGGCCTGCGTGTCTGTCAATTACAAAACTCTAATGAGGATGCGCGAGCCTCCCCATGTGCACGCGTCTTGCTCTTCCGTCACGTCTTGATTGAGGGACACGGCCGCCGTGGTGGCTGTCGATGCCTGTCTGCCGATGCCCTGCCGGTCACGGTTTGAGGAAGTAAAGCGAAATGCTTTTAATCTCTTTGACTCCCCATCTCTCTTCCTGCCTCCAGTACTGTCATAGCGATGCGACATGGGCGAACAGCACGCGAGGAGCGAGTCAGGTTTTTTTGGGACCCATGCCAAGGCACGGCACCCTCTTTTACTCGTTTTGGACAAGCATTGCGTCCGTCTTTAAGCCGATCAGCCGCCCTGCGTACCATGTAGCCATGGCGTGGTCCGTTCGACGTGGTCGCTGTCCTACTTGCACTGTGTTAGCTCATGCTGCAAGAACATGAATCGGTCGATGGCTTGAGCAGTGTTTGTGTTGCATGGTGGTAAGATTGATTTGTTTTCGTATGGATTATGCCGCGAGGCCGGCCGGTCAAAATGACAGGAGACTTTGAGCGAAAAAGCATGGTGATTGAATGATGCCATGACCTGAAGAATGCCCCCGGACGACGGATGGATAAGAAGGAAAGTCGACCAGAGCTAAGGATGCAGAACGTGGGAAAGCAGTGGATGGGAGAGTGCTTCGCTTCAGGCTTGGCTTTCTCTTGCTCTCTCCCGCTCTTACTCGTGTTCTTCCTTCTGTTGGTGCTGTTCGGCGACGCCTCCCATACTGCATCCAGATAAGCTCAATGCGGGCAGGCCAAAAAGGCCTTGGCTGATGAGTACAAGTACTTGTACCATGTACAGCAGGCGCGTGTGACCGTGGCCGTGGCCATGGCCGAGGAGAAGGAGAAGAGAAACGAGCGAGCGGGCGGGCGAGGATTTGGCACGACCAGGACGAGAATGGCACAGGGCAGGAGAGCAAGTGAAATGGCGGGAGCAAAATTGAGTGCTGAGAGCAGCGGATCCCGCCGCCAGGGCCAGTCCAGATGGTGGGCTCTCATTGGTACGAAGCCTCCCGTGCGCCTCTGCTCTTGCCCCGAAGCAGGCTAGCACGCTTAGCGCAGCCGCTGCTCTGGTGCGTGCTGCATGTTGGGGAAGTCCCTCCCTGGTGGCAACGTCTGCAGAAAGGGACTTGCCGGGTTGGCGCGCGGTGGATGGCAGCTAAGAGCTTGGGTCTCTTGGCCGAGAGCTTGGCCTGTGGCTGCTCTCGATGGCGTGGGCCCGAGGGGGCAGAGACAGAGAGGGACAGGGAGAAAAAGAGAAAGAGAGAAAGAGGCCGTCCTGGGGCGTTCTGGCCGACTGGCGTTGCACTGGTGCCCAGGCGCTCTTGCCGAAGACGGGCTCTGGAGCTGGGGCTGGGGCAGGTCTTTTTGGCACATGCTTCTCTTCACGGCTCTCTCTTGCCACCTTGTGACCTGTTCCGTGTCTTGCTTGAGGGGAAGGGGGGGGGTCTGATGGTGGTGAGGTTGGAGGCAGGAAGAATTGATGGTTGAAAAACTGAAACGGGCGAGGAATGGTTTGGCTCTTGGGGTAGCGAGCACGAAATGCCGCAGTATCGCAAGCCGAACAATTCGACGGTTCAGCACGAGATGGCAGAGCGATTGCATTATCTCTCACTGCATGCATCTCACCGCACTCAGAGAGCCTTTCTCTCGAGGTGCATGAGCGCGAAGGCTATCCCACTTACCTATGTACCCTACCCTGTACCTACCTGAATACCCTGTGTCAATATGAACCCACCTCGTGCTCGGAGGCACCAAACACAGTGGGCATCACCAGCCCATCACCGCCTGGACCAGTAATGGCTCGTGGCCCCCGCCTGCCCCTGCTACCGAGACGACCCCTTGCGCCGGACCCCAGACGATGCCCCCCGGTTATCTGCCCATTTGCCCATTTGCCCGGCGCCTCTGGCCTTGGCTGGACTGGTCCACTGTTCTTTTCTCTCCTGAGTCCTGTCCTGACTAGGTACATGTACCTGGCCTGGGTACCTTAGCCCAAGGGTAGGACTAGG